CACACACACACACACACACACACACACACACACACACACACACACACACACACACCCCGCTGACACACTAACTTCTTTTTCTAGCACCATCGATTACTGTCAGCCAATACCTGCACTTCCTTCTGTCTGCATCATCAGGTTTCAGGAAGTGATGATAAATGAACAGCACTGTCTGCCAAAACCTGAGGCCATAGATATATAGCTCTAAAGAAATCAAAACATTTTAAGACCCATGCTGCTTTAAATAAGGAAAAAGACGAGAAAACGTTAAATTGGATTTAACAAAATAAGTATTAAAGCTTAAATTCAGAGGTTTTATTGGTTTTACAGATTATATGAGGCAAACCATTTAAAAAGGACATTTTAATTATTTTGTTATAGAAATATAACATTTTATATTTTTGCATAGGATGAGATTTATGAGTGGGAGACTTAATACAGCAACATATTGTGAAATTTCTTCTTGTAATACATTATCAATACACTACTGGCAAATATCAATATTTTGCCTTCGAACATGGAGGCACTCTAAACTGATTTCCCACCCTGCCAATTAGACTTACCAGAATAGCTACTCTGTGGCTCTCTGTGGTGGCGCTTATCAAATTAATTAGAGTAAAGTAAATGGCAGTTAACCAGCTTCCAGTGAAGAAGAAAAACTCAGAGAGGGGGGAATTTGTGGACGGGAAAACAGCTTTGTGAGATACTGTAGATGATTGTCTTTCGGTGTATTATCTGATTCCCGAGCACAGCTTACATGCTGGTGAGACAGTTTTCTTTTTGTCCATCCTCTTAACAATTAGATTTCTTTTAATAATGTTGAGGGACTCGACACTGTGAATCAAGGTCAAAGAGTCCTGACTCTGCATTTAAAAAGAAAAACCCTCTTAGGCACGAAGGTAAGAATACAGGAAAAGCAGTGTCAGAAAACATCTCCGGGATGCTCGGAGCTGTCCATCAAACAGCTTTACTCCTTTGCAAGGAGACAGGTACAGAAATGAGGTGGATGCACACGTGTGTGGGAGAATATCTGCGCTGGCAGATATATTCAGAGGTAAGTGAGCTGTGACTGACATCATAAAGGAAAGAAGTCAGGATTGGGAAACAGAGAGGAACACTGAGCCCTGCTTTCTTATGACACACACACACACACACACACGGATGTTATGTGTACGTCAGCACACAGCCACTCATACTGAAGACTGAAGCACAAACAAGTCAATCTTTTCTTTTTGTCTGTCTCTATCTGTATTGTTTTAAAACTGGCACACACACACACACACACACACACACACACACACACACACACACACACACACACTGGCCCCAGGCAGATGAATGTGATTCAGTAGAAGCAAAGAGAATGGAAACATGAAGATGCTGCTGTACTGCAACACTGACGAGGAACAGGAGGTGGACTAAAAGTGACAGCACGCTTTGGTCATGTTCTGTGTATACACGACACCTTTCTGACACACAGGTAACAGTACGCTGTAGCTGTGTGATGGCCCCTGTAACCCACTGATGGTGAAACTTTTTCACAAGCTCCACTGGGAGCCTCCCATGTGCCACACCTGGTGGGACTCTGGTGTATCCACACCTTTCTGAGCTTTCACATGTTCCAGGTATAGAATCTGAACATAACTAATGAATGAGACCATTGTGCTCTCAAAATCCTTTTCGTCTTATCATTACATCCCAACAAGGTCGGAGCTCCTTACCTGTCATTAGCCTGAGGAGGAGCAGGAGGAGACGTAGTTCCAGCTCCCCTTGATTTGTTGACTTTGGCGTAGAGCCTATCCAGAGGATCATCATCGGGGATGACTCCGGGCTCGTTAGTATGATTTCCGTGCCCTTGAAAGCCGGATGGGCCGAGAGGGGAAGGTGTACGAGCGTGCTGAAACGCTCTGTAGGGAGGCGACTGAGACAGAGGCTGTGGCACCGAGCCCATATCTCGGTCCCTGAAGGATTGTATACGGGCGTAGTTGGGATCTGCGTCATCATCTTCAAAATCGGGATATGCCGAACCGCCGCCGCCGCCCTGCCGCTGATCTTGTAACTCGGGATGCGATGCTTCGATTCTGGAAAGGAAACGCAGGACTAATTATTGCATCTATTGAATGTATTTTGATTAGTAGACTAGCATAGAAAAAAATCAAAAGCATAGAGCTCAGATATGACAGGCGTGGAGCATACAGAGGGGTGGAGACAGACTGATAAAGGTAATTAAAAGAGCTGTTAAAGTGAGCATTCATGTTCTTCTGCATAGACAGACTAACACACCTCCTCTGAGTGCATGCAGTATTTCAGCTATTTCATCCTAATCATCTCATGGATAGAAACCTCCCCACCTCTCTCTCTCTTCTTTCATCCTCTCGAGCTCATGGTCACTCAGGAGGTCTGACTTTTGTCGCTGCAGAGCGGCCTTCGCTTCCTTCTTCTCCTCTTTTTTCTTTCCAAATCTGGACAGAAGCAAACATTGACACAGCATGTGGATCAAAAAGAAAGCCGGAGACAGTACAGCTGGTATACAGAGGACGTAGATAAAGGACAAACACTGCATCAGCACCACTCTTAAAAGAATCACAGGGCAGATACAGCCCTCGCGTCTCACATACAAATAAACACACATAGAAAAGTCAACTGAACCAACAACAGCTTCCACGATGGGTTAGTAAACTGGACACACAGGTGGTTAACTCGATGCCGACGGACGCTGGAGTAAAAGACACGCAGTTAATCCAGATTTGACAGAGGAAGGATACACACGAAGCTCAATAGGAACGCAGTCTATACAAGCTAACATAAATTAAAAGACGGCATACGCGCGACAGACCTAAAGACCCGCTTTAAGTGGCCACATATCAATACTCAAACCACAGCAGTCAATACTGCTTCTGTGTGGTCAGCATCAACAGCGTACTCAGCACTAATGGACACCAGACAATTCATTACCTGGAGGAGATGCAGGCAGACACACACACACACACACACACACAAGACTGGATGTCATAATGAGCATCATTATATCTTCAGACTTTGCCGCCACTGCTGAGAATGAAAAGTGAACTAAAGTGGGAAATGAAAATGTAAGAACTGATTTGGTGACATTGGGGTGATTTTGTGTTTCAGCTGTGAGCAGGAGAAAAATGACCTGAGTCAATATTTCCATGCTTTTGCATTGACGGAGCTCTAAGGCTCATCAAAAGTCTGTAAAGGTGAAAAACACCTTAAAATCTGAGTTAACTTGCAGTTGTTGTTGTCAGGCACTGATCTCCGTTTGTGTTATGGTTTCCAGCTTTTTCACCCAATCAGGTTGTTTGCTCCATTTCAACATTCTTATTAACATTTAATATCGTCATCATTAATATTATTACCTTTATGTTACCAGGAAGTCCCACTGAGATCAATCTGTCTCACAAGAGAGACTACAAATACAACATAAAGTATAAGTCCACAGCACATACACATAAAACTTTAATGGTTTCATGTTTCTTAAAAGAAACATCCTCCGTCTCCATCTAAAGTTTAGATGGTAAGTATGAGTCCTGGGACAGAGAAGGGTACAGATGTAGATGCAAAGTCCACCTAGAACGGCTTTATAAAGTAAAATATACGACCATAGAAAATATAAGTGGTCAGTGAATGAAGACTCTTTAGGACTGCAGAGGAAGCATGCATATACAGCAAATCACCAAAATCAATTACAGGCAAACAAGTAAAGTAAGATTTATTTCTAAAGTACAAACCAGGCCTCGCTTTAAACGTCCTAATAAGATTAGCACTGCGTGCATTGAGAAATCTACACACAGTGACAAAGTACAGCCAGTTTTGGGTCCTGTAGAGGACCTTTAGTTAAAGCACCTCCCACAGCAATGGCAGCTCAGTGTCTTCTTTGGAACGAGCCCGAAGATTAAAACTGTTTTTGTCCCATTTCAGGCACAGATGTTCAATTTCCACCCGCTTGGATGAGGAGCAATAGTGCACCGCTATTTTCAGGTTAGGTTCAAGTCCAGACAGTACCTGGAAACTCCAGGCCTTTCGCTCCTTTCCAGTAACGCTTCCTGTATTTTCCTGGCATCACGATGACGTTTGTGCACAAGTTCAATAATGTAATCAGTCACCTGCCTGCTGTCCTGGGGGTTGGGCTGCTGTTGTCTACATCACTACTGCTTCCCTCGCTGTCGATCTCAACACTGCCATCAGTATTCTTGTCCAATCATCTTCCTGCCTGCCTTCTTTGAGCCAACCAGCCTCCACTTTGCGTAGTTTAAATCTGTGCTCTCTGTTACTCTCCCTTTCAGACTCTCATTCATGCAACCCACCTCCACCCATCTGCACCTCACAGACACATCAGTCAGAGCTCCACCCAGGCCTCAGTCTTCATCTTCACCACCATCATCTAGACTTCGGTTGGTCCTTCGATTCTGCCGTGTTGGTCTAACCACCAAACTCTTAATTTCTCCATCTCAGTAAATTCAGCTCTTCCAAGTGATCTCTCCTTCTTGAACTTCTGCTTGTCGTGCCGTTAGCATGTAAACTTCTGCTCAGCACACTGGAAGACGTTTTCACTGGAAGACGTTTTCACCAGAGACGGCTCGAGGCTATTATGCGCTACAGAAAGAGCTTCCAACATAGCAATGCTGCCACCACTGTGTGTGACTGTAGGGATGTATTAATGAGGTGCTGCTCAGTGTCTGGTTTCCTCCAGTTAGATCCCTCTTGGCAAACTCCACGGCGGCCAGTCATGTGACTTATGGACAATGGGGGCCGACCTCAAAGGTTTGAGCGGTGAAGTGCTGCCACACAGAAACTTTGGGTCTCATTCATAGTGACTCCTGTTGGCTCACCGATGCCCTGAAAGCTCAGTCGGTGGCTCCAAACTTGATTACGTGTATCCGTCTTTAGATGAGTCTGCGTCCTCTCAGCAACCTTATTTTATGTATTATAAAAATAATACATAATATTAATACATAACGAGTATAGAATGAAGCTGTGCACTGTAATTAGCCAGGCACACACTTCCTCAAAGAGCAACCAAACAAAATGTTCTCTTTTCCATGATCCAGTTTGAAATTCCACAGAGAATTAGCATCTCTGCAAACATCTCCATCTTTAGGGTAATTAAGAAGAATTGTACTGTACAAATCTGTTTAGCAGCATTAGCACTGCAGCGTTACATTTACGTTACAAAACCTGCGCACATTTTCATTAGTTTAGAAGCAAAACATCTCTATACTCCCCCTTTTCTCTCTTCTCGTTCCCCTCACCCTAAAGCTTCTGCAGTTTTCGACTCCCCCTCCTTCAGCCTGGTTCTGCCAGAGGTCACTTCCTGTTAAAAGAGAGCACTTCCTCCCCACTGTTGTCAAGCTGTTGCTCAAAAGAGATCATCTGATTGTGCCTCACAAGATAAACCACCTGGAGGAGATGTTGGTGTAAACTGATGCTGTATAAATAAAATTCATTGAAAATCGTAACCAAGTATGATGTTTCCGTACTAAAGCATTTAGAGGCGTTTACCGTACTCCCAGCTCGATGGAGGAGAAGGTAGCTCATTAAACTTTACAACCAGCTGCTGTACAGTCGGGAGGACATGGAGAATTAAACCAGTATTAAATACTTAATACCTCCAACACACAAACCATGACCTTATAACAGCCTTTATGTTTAATTTATCAAGTGAAGTTATTGATATATGATCGTGCCACTATACCTGCTTATGGTTTATTTCAAACAACAGTCACAGTTTCTCTAAAGTGCGACTGTTTTGTTGTTTCAGCGCGTGCATATCACTGCTTCTGCAATAAAAGAAGGTATATTGTGAGCACAGAGGTAATAGGTTTCTTTGAAGTGCCTCATGTAGACTGGGGAAAAGCCTATTTACCACCCACAGAGGTGGACGCGATGGGCAATGAAGGGCACCAATCATCTGTGTGAATTAACAGCACGTGTGTGCGTTTGCCTCACAGCGGACGAGCCTTGCTCTAATTACCGCTGCCTATAGAGGCTTACCCTTTCCTTCAACTCCTTCTCGTACCCTTCCTCACAGCTCTTTTATGTCCACTCCTTCTGACCGTCTCCTCAGCGCACGCTTTCCTCCCATTAACCTTATTTCTCTTTCGTTTCATCCGCAGCGTACCTTGCTTTCACCCCGTCACCTCAGCCTCTCCTTTGACGTTTTGCTCCTTCCCTTTGCTACCAAGCACTTCTCTCTTCAGCTAATCTGTCTCCTCTCTTCTATGCTTCTCCTCACCCCTGCGTCCTCTCCAGTGTCGGCTTCTCATACTAACAGAAAGAATAGATGATAAAGTGAACACAACATATATTTTAACAACAGAACCCTTCTCTGAGAATTAAAGAACACATTTAGCACCGAGATTATCGCCATGTCTTGCTAATTTGAAGCACACACGCACACCTTCATACACCAACTTACTTTCTGCACAATGCTCAGTCTTTTGCACGACCCACTGTCATTGTTGCACTGTTGTGTCTGCACCGTCTGGTGTTACACGGTCGTTGGTTTTTTTGCAGTTTTTGCACATTTGCACTTTATGCAGTCCTGTGTTGATTGTCCTGTGTCACACGTAGCACCGTGGTCATGGAGGAATGTCTCGTTTCACTGCGTACTGTACCGCTGCACATGGTTGGCCATTTGACTTGACTTGACTACTTTAATAGAAACTCATTATAAATAACGCTGGTTACACAGGTCCAAACGGCACGTTCACAACCTCGTCCAAGCCTCGTCACATCGAATGGATCAGCTTTCATTTGTCTCCAGAAACGTTTCCAAAGTTTACTCAGAACGCTGCTGGAAAATGAATAAACCAACATCTAAAAGGTCGGAGTTCAGAAGGCAGAAACGTGTTGGTGATGGGGGAAGTCAGACGGGAATGCCCTAAACTGGTTGAAGAAAGGCTTTACAAACTTGGAAAACCAATCTCAAGAACACAAATGTGTGGCTACAGTGGACAGCTAAAAATTGGACCGCTGAAGACTGGAAATATGTTGCCTGGTCTGTTGGATTATCAATTTCTGCTTAAGGACACAGATGGTACAGTCAGAAATTGGCAACAGCGCCACGAATCCTGGTGGTGTTCCCTACACCATGGCATAATGGTGCATGGAGTGCTTCCTTGGCACGCTTTGGGCCCAGCAGTATCACTCCGCAGCGGTGCAGCTGACCACGGGCAAGTCTTTATGACCACAAATTATCTTCTTCTTGGAGGTGTTGATGATATAGAAAAGAAGATGTGCATCTGAAATGCACGTTTCCGTGTGAAATCACGATGCCATGGATTCTTTTATATCTCAGCATCATGTTAATGTGGTCTTCTGTTGGCAGGCATAGTTTTGACGCCACACACAACAATCCTTCATTTGCCCATTTTTGCTTTTCTTCTCTGACTGGAAATAGACAAGCAACCACATCCAGTTATCGACGACTTCCATACGCTTT